ACAACCCCTCATACATACATGATGCATGACACAAAATCAAAAGTACCAGGACATTCATTTCAGCACTGTTTGTAATATTGAAAAATTGGTAGCAATGTATAGGCCTATATGTGAGACTTATTAAAATAACTATGGTATATAAATTCTGTGAAATATCATATAATGATTAAAATAATGTAGAAGGTACAGGTACCTCCATCTGAGATGCATTCTTACATATGGCCCAGGTCTTGGCTGGTTTGGGGAACACTACCTGGAAAGAACTGGTTCTGATCCTTCTTCTCTCTGTCCTTTCTTCTGGCTACCCTATTTGAGTTCCTCTTCTCCCTCTTTGGCTTCTTACCCAGGAAGGATTCATATGTCTCCTTTTCTCCCATAATGAGACTTGATGACTTCTCAGCTAGGAGAAATTTCTTAGCAAGAAAACATGCCAGTTTATCCCTTGAAAAAAAAGAAGGACTGAGGCCAGCAGGTGTCATGGTGGTTAAGGGCACTGGACTCCCATATGGCCAACCATGGTTTGAGTCCTGGATCTAGCAACCTAGCAGCTTTCTCTCTCTCTCTCTCTCTCTCTCTCTCTCTTTCACAAAACTGAATAATAATAATAATAAATAAATAAAATTAAATAATTCTTTAAAAAGAAGAAGGACTAAGCAAGTCCTCAGATCACAATAGAAAGTTAAATGAGAGATAAAACTTTGGCTCCTCAATTCAGTAATAGAAGTTTTTATTCCACATGAAAATACCAAAATTATCCACACAGGGGCCAGTGGGTGGCATGGTGGTTAAGACAATGGACTCCCATGTGGCTGACTGCGGTTTGAGCCCCAGACCCAGCAGCTTAAGTCAGGCCAGGCACATGTGCATGCATGCCTAAAATCGCAAGAGAAAGAATTGCGGTGTGACCATTCCACCTGGGGGTGATGTCTCACTCTCCCTCTCTCTGTACCTTCCAATCACTCTCCTCTCTGGTGAACGTACATGCCCTATGACAAAAATCTAAACAAAAAACAATCCACACTGGCTTAAGCCACAGAAAGAATCTCTGGGTCTGTGAAACTGCAAGGTCTATGGGCAGTTCCTGGCTTCAGGCATGGATTGGTCCAGGTTCTCTGAGATCTGCCCTCCAGCTCTAGCTCTCCTCTATCCAGTGTCAGCCTGCCCTCATTCAACCCTCAAAGTGTCACTGGCTTGGGTGGGATCACTATGGCTAGAGTTAAGCATTGCTCTTAATGGCCAGGCCTGGATCTCATGACCACCCCTGGGATCGCTGTGAAGTCAACTCCGCTGAATTCTAACTGCTGAAGGGAAAGACGGGGAGTTTCTAGGGAGAAATGGGGATTGGATGTCTCCTATGGTGCTACAGATATTTCATCACGTTCAAAACCCATTTCCACCATTTTACAGAAATAAAACTAGGAAAGATTACTCTTTAATAGAGCACACTTTTATTTCCAACAGTTAAAAATATTTAATATGTGCTTTATGACAATGTCTAAACAACATGTAAGTCCAAAACGTGAAAGGTGAAAGTTTCTTCCCCTAATGCTATGTTCCACTGATGAGTATTTCTGACAGTGGAGGTGGCTCATCCCAGGTAGTTGCTGCTTTTATCCCCACATATTCACAGGCAGCATCTCATTGTAAAACCAGGAATGTGCCATGGCTCATTGTGGAGACCCATGACTGGTTTTTCCTCTTTCTATATTAGTACCAACTGTCTACAGGGCTTTCTCTACCTGCTGCATGGTATTCCACCAGGACAGTCTTATGGTGACTTATTGAATCTTTCACCATTTTGTGTATATTTACATTCTAACAATTTTTTTTTTTTTAATGCCAGAGGGGGAGAGAGAGAAAGGGAGAGCAAGCTTTCTTGGGCTTGATCATGGGCATATGCACAAGTATCCAGCTTGCTACTAGGGCTGGGACTTCAACCCTGGTGGGTCACACAGGATCCGGCTTCCTCTACACAGTTATCAAATGCACGCGTCAGAGACAGCCCCACATCTAACAATGTTTACGTGATGGTGTAATTAATGACCAGGTCAATTTTGCTTAATTTGCATATACAAGAGTTTCTCTGATAGTTTTTCAACGGTGGGTTAGGGGTATGCACATCCCTATAGAAAATGCCAAATAAATGTCAATAGATTTCACTACCACTCCAATTGACAATATGAGTCCTTATTTCTAATTCTAGCTTTGCCGAACAAGAAAGATTAATTTTTTCTTAATCCCAGAGGGTGTGTGCTTGCACACGTGAGCACACATGTGTGCAAGAGAGGAAGCACCCCTCCAATGGAACTCGGTCACACTGAAATACTTTTTCCTCCATTCTCCATTCTATTGGGATGCTGAGAATGCATGCACACTCCCAGCATGTTTTCAAGCTCCCAGGGCTGGTACTCAAAACTTGGTTGGCCATGTGGAATCTGGCTCCTTCTGTGTGGTGCCTAACCACTGTGCTATGGGCTGATCTGAGGATATTAATTATACTACATTAATTCTATATTAAATCTGCTTTGTTTCCATTGACCAAGCCCAAAAAGCAATACTCAAAAGGGAAAAACTGTTTCCAAGAAACTTAGCATCCTAGGACATAGCTCAAGAATATGTTCAGGAGTAGATACTGAATGTCTGCACTCTATGGCAGAAACGGAAATATCGGACTGTATAAAAGCATGGAAAGCAACTGTGGACACCAGAGACAGTGTGGGAGGAGGGTGAGAAATGGTGGAGGATGAGAGGGAGCAAAGCAAGGAGGGAGAAGAGAAGCAACATATATTTTAAAATATATATATATTTTAAGAGTATTTTGTTGTTGTTGGGTTTTGTTTTTGTTTTTTTTTTGTTGTTTTTTTTTGTTTTGTTTTTTTTTTTTTTGCTATAGGGCATATCCTCCATCCTCCTCTCGGGATTTTGGGCTCACATGCACACTCCCCTGGCATGAGTTTTAAACCGCTGGGTCCGGGACTCGAACTGTGGTCAGCTTTGTGGGAGCCCAGTGACATAGTCATTACACCATCTGCTGGTCCCACAAAAAATAAATTTTAAAAAATGGGGAAAAAATATCTAGCACCCAATGTAAAATCCACCGTGTCTTGTCTAAAATTACGAAGCTTGTCGGTGCCACAGCAGTCAAACATGGTGTACTGCATGTTGCTTTGCGGACACCTCCCTGAGTACACTGGGCACACGTTTGCCTGTGATCTGGGACTGGATAAAGCTGGGTGTGGGTTGTGGTGTCAAGATCTTGTAGGGGTGATCTTTCTCGCTCATGGAATAAATAAAAACTGTAAAATTACTAAGTATGAAAAAGGCAAGAAAATCTAACCCATTATGGAGAAATCAATCAATTAAAGGTATCCAGATCAGAAAAGTAAATCTGCCTTAATTTACAACCTGATCACCAATGTAGAAAGTTTGATGTAATCCATAAGAGAGCTACTAGAACTGTGAGTGGATTTGTCAAGACTGCAGAGAATAGGTTATGTGAAATGGAGCTAACTCCTCCCCCCATTTTCTAGGTTGTTTGTTCTCCTCAAGCAAACTAAGTTTTATATTTTGGTAGGAATCAGACCCAGTGGTAACAAAGATATAGGCAAATTCGAATTTTGGTGGGAGGATACACTTTCTGAATAACAATTTTGTACTATACATTGATAGCCTGAGGGGAGAAAAAAAAAACACACAGAAATGTATCTTCAACTGGGCTGGTGGGAAGTGTGCTCATCTTGGGTAAATTCATTTTACAAGCTGTAGCGATGTACAGTAATTGAATGTATAAAATGAATGGAAAGAATTTAAAAATGGAAAGAAAGAAAACGACAATGGTGAAACTGGATGAACAATAAAAGCCAAGTAGTACTACTGGTATTCTAAAACTAAAAGGAAGAATGGGTCTTTGAACAAAACTCTTCTTTGAATCACATCTACAGAAAAAGTTAAAACTGGAAGAATTTGTACCAAACAGTTGTTAAATTATTCTGAGTATTTGCAAGCCATATTAATGTATGCACAGACTTCTTAATGTTTCTGTGTCTATTTACACATTTTTTGGAGAGGTTTTTGCTATAGGGCTCGTGCGCTCACCAGAAAGACAGAGAGAGACAGAGGGACAGAAAGCGAGAAATCACCCCCACCCCACCCCCGAGGGGGGGGGAGGCGGCATGGCCAAGCCACAATCACTTCTCCTCCCTTCTCCTCTAGGGATCTTGGGCACATTCCCAAATTTATTGTAATCCATGGGTTGCACGTTAAAAATATTCACTAAGCTTCATTGTGATCAAACGTTGTAAACACCGGGAGCAGCAGTTAGCGTAATGACTATGTTGCTGGACTCCCACGTAGTCGACCGCGGTTTGCGTTCCGGACCCGGTGACTTAAAACTCACGCCGGGTGGGAACCAGCAGTTAGCGTAATGGCTATGTCGCTGGACTCCCACGTAGTCGACCGCGGTTCGGGTCCCGGCCCCGGGGGCGTAAAAC